GCATATGTTGCATGTCTGTATTTTATGTCATAAATGTAACCTTGTGTATTTTATTGTATTTTACTGTCTTTTTGCTGCCATGTGTTCAATGGAGTTTTGCCTCTGTCTTTGGAGATAATTGGATTACTTCTAATTATCTCCAGGATAGAAGACTCTGTGGAACTGGTTTTGGGCAGAAAAGCCATGCTTCCTGTGGTCACAAAGGACTACGATCTATCTTTTGAACCACTGGACCAATTTGTATGATTTTGACGTATGTTTGTATTTGGAGTATGCTGATTCTGAAAATGTAAGTTTATGTGAATGTGATGCATACTATTCAAGTTATGAATAATGTGGAAAAATTGTATTTCTCTGCTTGTGCTAAATTACATTACCCATTGTGTAAGGTAATTGAATCACATGCAGAGGGGAGGAATTTGTGTGGGAGTGTATTGTATGTGTTTATTGGTTGTGTTCCAAAACCCTGTGGGTGGTACTAATGTGTAAGAATGTGTACATAAGCACAATAAACCCACAGCTCTGTCTGTTCTCTGCTTGACCCTCAACACGGAGCTTTGTCTCGTTCTTGGGGGGATTTACTGTATGCTGTTCCAGTTTGACTGCTAGGGGTGTAAACCTATTCGTATGGTTTTTCCTATTCGGCTGTTTACAGCATTCGTATGGTTTCCTGTTAGGCGGATTGGTGTTCTGCAGTATCTGTGCCTGCATCTCTGGAAGGGGACGATCGCCTAAACGGTTTTAACCCCTTGTGTGCTGAAACGGTCCGTTACAATATATATATAAATGCAAAATACATTTACAATGATGTTATAAATACATGGTTCTACTCGTCATTAAGTCATGAGATGACACTTGAGTATTAGAGTTTGGAGTTGTACGAATGTACATTAATACTCCTTTGTCTTCAATCTCTCTTTTTTTTCCAGTCTATATTGTATTGTAAATCAATTTATATAAAGCCCCATGGTCCTTTTGCCAAAGGTACACTCTGAAATTTTGGTTTCTTTCCTTTCAGTCTTGGATTATATTTGTTACGATTGCCCCCGGTCTAGCAGGGGGGTTGATCGCTTGGATGTCCTGGTTCCCGCTGTAGAGAGTCGAACTGAGGTCTTTCGGTAGTAAGCTGCAAGTGTAGAATATCCCCAAGCATGGTATAAGCATCAATATCCCGGATCCCTACAACATGAGTCGAGGCTGCAAGTTGAGGGTCAAAACGAACTGGCTTTACTGGCACACAGCATGGCAATTTATGTGATTCCTCAGGTCCAAGGACAGCCCCCTGTGGACCTGATGGAATACAGGTACAGTACAGTCAAGTAACCAATCACAATACAATGTATCATTTGAATTAGTACCCGCCCAGCTTGGAGATAATGAGGCCAACGGTTATACAATCTAATTATCTCCAAGCGCACAAAAGACCACGTTTTATTATGTCCCAGAAAACTGCATAAAAATCCATAACTTTAACATTAATAAAGGAAAACACCTCATTCGACCATTCACTTAATAGCTCGCTATCGGATACATTAAACCTCTGCGCCATTTCATTATCAACTTCCACTTTCAAAGTAAAATCCAAATCTTTCTTATTTGTGGTTTTCCACGAAATATCTGTAGCATCCCCCAAATTAGTAATCTGTTTTTGCAATTTTTCAAAATCAGTAACATTTATGTCTAATTCCTTACACATGTGAGAAGTGGGTTCGAGCAGATTTGTCTCATTCTTTTTTTTTTTGTTGAAATTCTTTATTTATTCCAAGGCAGAATGGCGCTCCAATCCCACGAACAGAATGGGCTATTTCTGCCGTATAAAGTCCGTTCGGCATTTTGGATTGTGAGTCTCTGATGGCGGCCATGTTTTCAGACGGTTTAGCGTGCAGCGGGACCTCACTTCCAACTCATGGAACTAAACCCGGGTATCAGTTCATGCGAAGTCCTGCTGTCTGTCTGGTAGTGGAACTCATTCGGTACATGAACGAGGACCACCTGGTAGCATGGTACTTGAGCTGCGGTTAACCACAGAAACCGCAGGCAAATGACCGCCACGCGACCAACTGTAGGGGGTCTCCATTCGGTTGGTTGTTCGGTAGATTCCCTTCGGGACTTTGGGTGCGAACGTCGATCCCCCCAGGCCCATCAATTAGTCTGTGGTTAACCGCAGACTGCAGCCGCCTGGGTGGTTAATGGCTGCCACACTGCTGGTCGGGTGGTCGACCGTTCGGTATTTTGCGGGGTGATGAGGTTAGGTGGCGGCACACGCCAGCATTTGGGGGGTCCCTCGTTCGTATCACGAATGGAGTCTTTATAAGGGTTTGTGTAATCCATTCGCGTTTTCCTCGGCTTAAACGTATATAGTGGCAACAGTAGCGATCGGTATTAACAGTTACACAGTCATTTCGAGTCTTTTGTAACAATATTGAGCACATTTTACTCCAGCACTATGTTGGTACACATTATTATTTTAACTTGGTGATACAATTTATTTTGCAGGACATTAAACAGTTTTTCTGTACCCAAATGCCCCAGTGTACGATGATTGAATACAACACGCTCTTGCAATAAGCCACTAGGGACAAATGGTACAAAAGTTTGTGTTTCATTATGTTTAACCCTGTGCAAGCCAGTTTCGGCATCTTGTTTCAGTGTTAAAAGCTACAGCCTAACTCTGATTTCCTTTCAGATCTTGTAGAGGATCTGCTATTTGTCTTTCGCTCACAATTGCAAACATTACATTTACTGATTATTGCAACTCTCCTACTATATCAGATTCCTTTGCCTCCTGGTCTACACGTTTGTTTTCTTTCTGGCAGAACTGTTTGACTATGCAAAAAGAAAAGCCCAGGCACATCAAAACAGGAAAATGGCGATAAAATGGCAGAAGGAGCTACCCTCTGGCTATGTGCTCCTAAATGAGAACAATTTTGTTACAGTTTTAAATGTGTGTGGGAGTTTGTAAAATTATCTATCCAAATCCCACTATTGTGTAGTGCTGTGTAGTTTCTAACATACAGCCATGAGCTGTTTTACACGGGAAACATTCTCTTTTCCACTGGAGACATCGTTGTAGAAATATATTCCAGTATTTGGTTAAAGCCACATTGCATTTGCATCAAAACTGCTATTAGCGAAGAGACACCTGCATAACATTGAACAACATATGGTACAGTGTCACTAAGAGCAGCTAGCACAGGCATTTGTGTGAGAGCATCTTTTAACAGGTTCCAACTCTTTTCAGCTTCCTCGGTCCAGATGAGCTTATCTGTATTGGCACATTTTCTCCAGCATTTTGTACAAGGATTTTGCTATCCCTGCAATATCATATATGAATTCTCTTTTAGGGTGTTATATTGTACATATTACTGCGGGGGGTTTGCACCTACAATAACAACTTGCAAATTCATCCTCCTACAATCTTGTTTAGACTTAGACCACACTGTGAGGTATTTTTCATTCAGATACTTTACAAGCTCGTCATCTTGTTGTATAGAAGGTGACACTTCACTCTGTTTTACAGCCTTGGTATGACTATACCATTATAAATCATTAGGTTTACCCACTCCACCTGATTTGCTCTCACCTGGAGCTTGCCACAAAACCAAATCCAATAAATTTGCATACAACTTTTTCCATTGATAACATCCATTCCCATTATAGTACAGTGGGAGAAGAGTTCCACCCATAAATCACAACAGATTTGTCCTCCTTCAAACTCAATGCCATTATTAGTGGATAGAGTTGCATGTGCTCCATTAAAACTTAGAAGGGATATTGTTGGTGCTTCCATATTAAAAGACAAGCCTTTGTTGGTTAGAGACACTACTGCTCCTGTGTCTAATAAAACTCTGTTATAGTCCCTTCTAGTGTTCCATATGTATATGGTCGCCCAAGATAGACAAGAGAACAAATAGGGGGTTACACATCCCTTTTTTGTTGTTGCAGTAGGAGATTTCATTTGTGAACTTGTAACTGCTTTCACCTTTCTTTCAATGGCAATTAACATACGTATACACTCTTCGTATATGTTTAATATGTGAGGGGGAACTAAATGTGTATCCCTCAGTTTCCACTGCTGCCACTCTGTGTACATTCATATGCTCTGGTAAAATGCCATTTTCTATCACTTGGTAATGTAATTCCTCATATCTCCTGAGATGACCTTCTTGGTTACAATTATAGCATACCATTAGGTTACTCTGATTAACCCTATAATACCTATCTTGGGGTGGGGCCGGATACTTTCTAGTACCCTGATAATTTGGTGAATTTTCTGGTCTACCAATAGACCTCCCTCTAAAATTACCATTTCCATTATTAGCCTCTTATCTCCCTCTATCCTCTCACTAGACACATAGTTAATAGGGGCCAGTCCTGCTGAGGTATCCCTAGAGAAAAGTGTGTCTGTGAAAGCAACCTTTTTTTGCTGATTCTGTATATTTCATGAATCAAGAGGGGACCAGTGAATACTATCCACACCAGCTGCACAATGTAACACAATTATCAATCTTTGTGTATTATTTTGGAAACAATTTTTCCAATTCAACTCTGGACTTTTCACTTGCCTTATCCTCCAACGTAGTTACATAGCTGAAAAGAGACTTGGTCCATCAAGTTCAGCCTTCCCCACATATGTTTTTGCTGTTGACCTAAAAGAAGGCAAAAAAATCTAGTCTGTAGCACTTCCAATTTTGCAACAAACTAGGAAAAAATTCCCCCAAAATATTCCACGAAATATCTGTAGCATCCCCCAAATTAGTAATCTGTTTTTGCAATTTTTCAAAATCAGTAACATTTATGTCTAATTCCTTACACATGTGAGAAGTGGGTTCAAGCAGATTTGTCTCATTCTTTTTTTTTGTTGAAATTCTTTATTTATTCCAAGGCAGAACATTACACTGAGAACATGATGCATCAAAACATTGTAATATATTGTTACACCGTGCAAAACAGTATTGTATCGTATTTGCAATAACAGTGAGCTAACAATCTTTGCACCCCCTTACTGCAACATAGTAACATGAAGTGTATCTATCATACATTACAGCACTGTATCTCTGTCCTCTCTGGTTGATTTTTGTTTTACACGAAAAATATAAAAAACATAACAGGGCTAAGACCGCCAAACAAACATTTCTTTTTTCAATAGAACATGCCCCATCCATTCCCCTGCGATTATGCACGGGCCCCATATGTCTTTTGAAGTAAGAGGAAGAAGTAAGTGGAGGGGGGTGTGGCAAACCTTGCCACTAAGAGACTGAAAAGGGACTTTCGAAATTCGAATAAGCTTGGATTAAAATGGCCGTATGACTATTAAGGCAGTAGTCGCCAGTAAATCGGTTCACGAACTACATATACTGTATTAGCCACGAAAGCATGTAAAATACCAAATGAGGGACCACCCAGGTGTGGTCGTGTGTCCCTCATTACCGAAGGCAACAATGTTGCAAAGGCTGGTAATTGAGGTTCGTGTGCGGCCGCCATTTGCCTGCCGAACACGTGGCGGCGGCCATCTTACGCACGAACAGTGGTGTTTGGTCGTCGAATGCCTGGAACCCAAATTGGGCATTCGATAACCAAGCACTGCTAAGACCTCCAGCACTCCGGAAAGTGACGAATAAACCACACAAACCGCCCAGCATTCGGTATGTTGAATCCCGCGAACTAGGGGATTCATCCGAATACCAAGTCAAGCCTGGATGCCAAGGACCTTTGGGACTTTTTATATGCGAATGGAGACCGACCGCAGGGCCAGAATTCATGGAACTATTTTCGGCTACTGTGCCCGTGCGGTCGGTCAAATCTTTTCCCTGCCATAACTCCCGAACCCCTGGTCCGATCTGGGTGATTTTTGAGTATGTTGCTCACCCAGATCAGGGATACTAGGGGATCCCTCATGTAAAGGTGTACCCCCTGTATTTGGGGTACATCCAAGAATTGGGGAAAAGTGTGTACTTGTTAATAAGTTTAACTGTTAATCTAGGGGGAGGAGATGTGGGGGAGGTGCCGACTATGTGATTGGGTACTGTAATAATTATGGAAGTTACCTCCCTTGCATGGGAAAAACACATAAAAGCAGAGCTTGTGCAATAAAAGCCAGTTGACTCCCAGACTATGTGTTGTCTAGTCCTTGGGGAGGGGGATTATGCTATATTTTATATTCCTGTATGCTGAAGCTTTGTTTCAAGCGGAGAACTCTTGGATTAACCCCTGCTACTCCGCTACAATTGGTGGCAAGCGACAGGATTCAAATCTCACAGCAGACCGTTGTTTGGCAGATTGAGCAAGAATAAGAGAACAGGAACAGCAATTCATGGAAATCCCTATTCGTATGAAACTGAAGCTCGAGGGTATGTGAATATACCCGAACGGACAGTGAATGGGGACGGATTATACACATTTGAAACGGGCTACAATAAAAGAGCTATTGGAAACAAGGGGAATCATTGCCAGCAATAAAGCTAAAGCCATCCTTGTTGCTGAACTCATGGAGGGAGATAGAGCAGCTGCTGCAACACCTCCTATGGAAACTACACAGACAGAGTTCGAAAAAGAACTCAAAAGCCGGCTGGCATTTTTCCCAGGAACACCCCCCACAGAAACAGTAGAAAGAATCATGGCAGATGTGCATGAGTATTTAATGGCCAAGCAGCAAGCAGATCAGAGGTCCAGAGAGGGGTCTCCAACCCCACCTCGCATGGTGCAAGGGAAGCCCAAAATCCCCTACCAAGCTTTTAAAAATTACGTGGTAACCGAGGACATTGATGGATACTTGCACGACTTTGAGAGGCTATGCCAACTACATGACATCAGCACAACCGACTAGGTACCCCTGCTGGTGGGCAAGCTAGCGGGCCGGGCAGCCGAAGCCTACCGTACAATGCCGGACGAGGACAGCAGGGACTACCAGAAAGTAAAGCAGGCCATCCTAACCAGGTATGCCATAACTCTGGAGGCATACCGGCAGCGGTTCAGGGAGATCCAAAAATTGGATAGAGACTCCCACATGGAGTGGGCACAGCGCTTAACCAGGGCCGCCAAGGGATGGGTCCAAGCGGCGCAAGCCACTACAGTGGAGGACATGCTACAGCTGCTTTTATTGCAACAATTTTTCCAGGGGTTAACCCCGGACTTGCAGAATTGGCTGAGAGATTGGAAACCGCCTACCTTGCCTGATGCAGCCAGGTTGGCGGACGAGTACAAAGATGCAAGAAGGGCACAGCGAGCGCAGTTACGACCCACCCCTGGGGTCACAACACCACCTCCAGCTACCACCACAACCCCGACACCTCATCCCAGTGGGGGGAATTACCAAACCCCACCCAGATACAATAACCGCTCCTTTATCCGTTGCCACATGTGCAATCAACAGGGACACATACAGCGAAATTGTCCCAGAAACAAGAACCGATCAACCTGGGCTAACCCGACCAATCCCTCTGGTAACCGGGCGGCCGTACACTGCTACCAGGGTGAACCTCGACAACCACCACTTGCGGCAGGATCCCCTGAGGAACCCCTGGGTACCCTACACAAAGTCAACCCGGTACAGGCGGCCTCAGACAACCGACAAGGACATCGACAAGGTGTACATATGGAGGGACTCAGGGGCCACCATCACCTTGGTTCGTAACCACTTAGTTCCAAAGAGCCAGCTCACTGGGGAGTATGTAGCAGTACGGGTGGCAGGGGGAGCCATATACAAGATCCCCACTGCCAGGGTACATTTGGATTGGGAAGAGGGGTCCGGGGATGTGGAAGTGGGCCTCATGCAAGATTTACTGGCCGATATTATCTTGGGCAATGACTTGGGGGAGCTGACTTCAGCTTTTGTTCCCCAACACCCAGCGCAGGAAGCGCTACCAGTTGTCACCCGGCAGCAGGCTCGCACCATCACATCCTCCGACCACTCTGAGGCTCAGGTAAGCAACAGTCACGCACCCCCTATTGTTCCCTGGGCCCCACCCTTAGAATTTGGTACTGAGTTAGCCACCGACCCATCTTTACAAGTATACCGAGATAGGGTAGCACAGAATCAGGCTGGGTTGGAGGGGGAGAGATATGCTTGGGAGAAAGGGTTGCTGTACAGATATGCAGAAAAGGTGGTAGCAGGATCAATCCCCATGTCCATTAAACAATTAATCGTTCCTAAAAAGTATAGGCAGGAGTTACTACGTATTGCCCACGATATTCCCTTGGCCAGACATCTAGGCGTCAGTAGGACCAAACACCGTTTGACCCAAAACTTCTTTTGGCCAGGCGTCTCCAAAGAAATCCGGCAGTATTGCCAAACTTGTGATACTTGTCAAAGAGTAGGGAAGAGAGGAGACCGGTACAAGGCAAAACTGCATTCCCTTCCCATAATTGAAGAGCCATTCAGTAGGGTGGCTGTAGATATAATCGGGCCCCTATCCAAACCAAGCCCTTCCGGTAAAAAGTACATTTTAACAGTGGTAGATTACACTACTAGATACCCTGAGGCAGTAGCCCTAACTAATGTACACACTGAAACCATAGTGGATGCCCTGATCCGAATATTCTCCCAAATGGGGTTCCCCAAGGAGATTATCTCGGATCGGGGTACCCAATTCACGGCAGAGGTTACCCACCAGTTGTGGAGAGTATGTGGGGTGAAACCCATTGTGAATTCAGCTTACCGCCCCCAGTCCAATGGGCTCTGTGAACGCTTTAACGGAACATTGAAACAGATGCTTCTTACGTTCATAGATACTCTGAAAGAATGGGAGCGGTTCCTTCCCCACCTGCTCTTCGCATACCGGGAGGTACCTCAGGAATCCACAGGGTTCTCCCCGTTCGAATTACTATTCGGAAGGAGGGTACGGGGCCCTTTGGATCTCATTAGGGAGCACTGGGAGGGCACAGTCACCAGTAACGGTACCCCTATTGTTCCATATGTGCTAGAGTTCAGGGAATGCTTGGAGACTTTAACCCAGACGGTACGCTCCAATCTCCAGACGGCTCAACAACGACAGCACCGATGGTACGATAGGGGGGCCAGAGACTGCAGTTTTCAAGTGGGACAAAAGGTACGAATCCTGAAACCCATCCAGAATGACAAACTGCAGGCCTCTTGGCAGGGTCCATACAAGGTGGTGGAACAAGTGTGTGACACCACCTATGTAATTGGCTCATGCACTGGAGCAGGCAGTAGGCGCATGCTCCATGTAAATATGTTGAAGCCGTATCACGAACGTGCCGAGGAAGTAAATGCCATCTGTGCCTCGGCCGCAGAGGACCCCGACAATTTACCTCTTCCGGACCTACTAGAAAAAGGGGGCCAAGACGCAGAATTAGGGGAGGTACAGCTGGGAGATCGGCTGAGCCCTCAAGAACGGGCCCAGATATTAGAACTAATCAAAGAAAAAGGAGATACATTCTCCAATCTACCAGGCTATATGCCTCTAGCCAACCACAGGGTGGAAACCCCAGGACAACAACCTCTCCGCCAACCCCCCTACCGCATACCAGAGTCCGCAAGGGAACATATGCGGAAGGAGATTGACGAGATGCTGCAGCTAGGAGTGATAGAACACTCGGATAGCCTCTGGGTGTCTCCGGTAGTCCTAGTGCCGAAGCGGGACGGGACCACCCGCTTCTGCATAGACTACCGGAAGCTTAATGATAAGACTATCTCAGACTATGTCCCGAATCGATGAGCTCCTAGATAAAATGGCCAGGGGCCAGTACCTCACCACAATAGACTTATGCAAGTGGCAGATACCACTTGCCGAGGACGCCATCCCGAAGTACGCATTCGTCACCCCGTTTGGACTATACCAATTTAAGGTAATGCCATTCGGGATGAAGAATGCTCCGGCTACCTTTCAGAGGATGGTGGATCGGCTGCTGGATGGATCCCAGGAGTATGCTTGCGCATACTTGGACGATATAACTATCTTTAGCAACTCCTGGGCCGAACATTTGACCCATATAGGAGCCATACTCGTCCGCATTAGGGCAAACTCTGAAACCTAGCAAGTGCCACGTAGGGATGGCCGAAGTACAATACCTAGGGCACAGGGTAGGGAGTGGGCAGCAAAAACCTGAACCGGCCAAGATAGAGGCCGTAGCAAAATGGCCGACCACCCCGCACTAAAACCCAAGTCCTAGCATTTCTGGGTACCGCCGGCTATTACCGGAAATTCGTGCCCAATTATAGCGCCATAGCCAAGCCCCTCACAGACCTTACCCTGAAAAACCTTCCCAAGATAGTTACCTGAAGCCCAGAATGTGAACAGGCATTTCAAGAACTGAAAACCGCTCTTATACATGCACCTGTACTTGCCGCTCCTGATCCAACTAAACGCTTTCTCGTCCATACAGACGCTTCTATGTTTGGATTGGGAGCAGTGCTGAGCCAGGTTGGGGCCAATGGTGGCGAACACCCGGTCACTTACTTGAGCCGAAAACTATTGTCCAGGGAAGTAAGCTATGCCGCCATCGAGAAGGAATGCCTGGCCATGGTGTGGTCCCTCAAGAAGCTGCAGCCCTATTTATATGGACAACAATTTGCATTGTTCACAGATCACAACCCGTTGGTGTGGCTAAACAGGGTGTCAGGAGACAACGCTCGACTGTTGCGCTGGAGCTTGGCGCTACAACCCTTTGATTTCACCATCCAATACGGCCCTGGGAAGCAAAACGGCAACGCCGACAGGTTGTCACGACAGACAGAGTTGGAAAAATGATCTGTGAGCACTCTCCCGGACATCCCCAAGCCGATCCGTTGGGATCAGACTGTGTATGCCGGCTTGGTTCTGGGGGAGCATTGTGGCAAACCTTGCCACTAAGAGACTGAAAAGGGACTTTCGAAATTCGAATAAGCTTGGATTAAAATGGCCGTTTGACTATTAAGGCGGTAGTCGCCAGTAAATCGGTTCACGAACTACATATACTGTATTAGCCACAAAAGCATGTAAAATACCAAATGAGGGACCACCCCGGTGTGGTCGTGTGTCCCTCATTACCGAAGGCAACAATGTTGCAAAGGCTGGTAATTGAGGTTTGTGTGCGGCCGCCATTTGCCTGCCGAACACGTGGCGGCGGCGAACAGCGGTGTTTGGTCGTTGAATGCCTGGAACCCAAATCGGGCATTCGACTAACCAAGCACTGCTAAGACCTCCAGCACTCAGGAAAGTGACGAATAAACCACACGAACCGCCCAGCATTCGGTATGTTGAATCCCGCGAACTAGGGGATTCATCCGAATGCCAAGTCAAGCCTGGATGCCAAGGACTTTCGGGACTTTTTATACGCAAAAGGAGACCGACCACAGGGCCAGAATTCATGGAACTATTTTCGGTTACTGTGCCCGTGCGGTCGGTCAAATCTTTTCCCTGCCATAACTCCCAAACCCCTGGTCCGATCTGGGTGATTTTTGAGTATGTTGCTCACCCAGATCAGGGCTATCAGGGGATCCCTCATTTAAAGGTGTAACCCCTGTATTTGGGCTACATCCAAGAATTGGGGAAAAGTGTGTACTTGTTAAAAAGTTTAACTGTTAATCTAGGGGGAGGAGATGTGGGGGAGGTACCGACTATGTGATTGGGTACTGTAATAATTATGGAAGTTACCACCCTTGCATGGGAAAAACACATAAAAGCAGAGCTTGTGCAAAAAAAAACAAGTTGACTCCCAGACTGAGACTGTGTCGTCTTGTCCTTGGGGAGGGGATTATGCTATATTTTATATTCCTGTATGCTGAAGCTTTGTTTCCAGCGGAGAACTCTTGGATTAACCCCTGCTACTCCGCTACAGGGGGGCGCGAAGGAATCCAGTCTAACATACATCCACTCCATCCAAGTCTGCCCAACGGAGTCTCGTTCGTGTGTACATCACTCACTTGCTGCGCTAGCTACCCAAGGGCCCCAAACTTTTTCAAACATTTTCATTGTACCCCGAACCCGGGCTGTTAGGTCATCCATCAAATAATTATGTTTAATTTTCTGAATCACCACGGCGATTTCTGGGGCCTCTCTTCGCAACCATACCTGTGCCAAAGCTCTCCTAGCGGCTAGGTTCACCTTATGTAATAGGGTCAGTTCTGATTTCGTCCAGTTTTCTATAGATCTAGCTAACAAAAATACCCATGGGTCTAGCTTAACCTCCCTCTCAAATATTTCTTGCAGCAACTGCGCAATTTGTTGCCAATAAACTTTTGTGATCGGGCATTCCCACCACATGTGGATATACGTGCCCTTGAGACCGCACCCCCGCCAGCATAAGTCTGTTGTAAGATGATTTATACGGCTTAACTTTACCGGCGTAGTATACCATCGAAATAGCGTCTTATATGATTGTTCCTGTAACGAGACACACATAGAGGACTGCACGGCTGCTTCCCATATTTCCTGCCATTCCACTCCCTCCAACGTCTCTCCTAAATCCGCCTCCCATTGGTCTATGTATGTAATACCTCCCCATTCTAACCTGCTATTACACAAATGTGAGTATAGAAGTGAAATTAGTCCACTTGGGAACTGTTCCTTTGCGCACATTCTTTCAAAGAATGTCATCTGTGTCTCTGTGGTTTTTTTAACCTGTCGATCTTGGGCATAGTCTCTAATCTGGAGATATCTAAAGAAGTCAAAGGGTCGTAGAGGCGTTCTAGTTTGCAAATCCTCAAACGTCACAAATGACCCCCCCTCGAACAGTTGGTGTAATCTCTGCAGTCCTGCACGTTCTATGCCCCTAAAATCCCGGGCTGTCATTCCTGGTAGGAAAGCTTTGTTCCTCAATAGAGGGGTCAATAGAGAAGGGGAGGATATCAATCAATATTTAGGAGCGGCTGCGTCCCAGATCTTCAGTGAATTGGAAACCGCAGGGCAGGTCACGCTTATGTTCGGTCTATGCTCCTTAGGGGTCCACATAAAAAACTGGGGCATATCCATCCCCATCAGGGAAGCTTCTAGATCTACCCATCTCCTTTCCTCCGGTGGAGAATGCCACAGTGCCACCTGGGCCAGCTGGGCTGCCTCATAATAACAATATAGATGCGGAAGTCCCAGGCCGCCCGTGTCCCTAGCCCGGTAAAGGATGTTGCGTGAGACCCTATGTTTCTTATTCCGCCATATAAATTTGCCTATGGATTGTTGGAGTGGTCCCAAGTCAGATCTGGTTACTCTAATCGGGAGCGCCTGAAACAAAAACAATATTCGAGGTAGCACATTCATTTTCACGGAATGGATCCTCCCTATCCAAGAAATTGCCTTTTCTGTCCAGTTCTCCAAGTCTGTCATCAATGTCTTAATCAGCAAGGTATAATTCTGTTGGAATAGTTTAGATGGGTCTGCTGTCAGTCGTATGCCGAGGTATTTAATGTGATCGTTTGTGATTCTTAATTTGTAGGTCATCCCTATGTAGGTGGTATCCGTCTCTGACATACCTATGGGCAATACGCTGGACTTGTCCATATTTACCTTATATCCGGCCAGTTCTCCAAATTCCTGTAGAATATCTGTTAGCGCCACCATGGATTCCCTTGTTTCTGTCAGCGTCAATAAGACGTCATCTGCGAAAGCTGACACCACGTATCTTTGCCCTCCAACATCTACCCCTTTAATGTCTGGGGCTGCGCGGATCGCCTGACGGAGTGGTTCTAGCGAAAGAGCGAACAATAAGGGCGACAATGGGCATCCTTGTCTAGTGCCATTGCTCAGACCGAACGGGTTTATCTTTCCTCCGGAAAGCGAATTTGCGCCCTGACGTTAGTATACAAAGCTCGTATCGCCTTCATGAATTGTTCTGGAAAGCCATAATGATCCAGCATTGTAAACAAATAAGGCCACTTAACCCTGTCGAACGCCTTCTCAGCGTCTAATGACAGTAACATCGTCTGTATTTTCCTTGTGGTTTGTCTCCATATGAGATCCACATTACGTCTCGTATTTTCAAAAAGTTGCCTATTCGGTATGAACCCCACCTGATCAGGGTGAACCAAACGAGTCAGCATCGGGTTTATCCTGGCAGCCAAAATTTTTGCTAATATTTTGGAATCATGGTTGATAAGGGATATCGGGCGGAAGTTTTCTGGTGTTGAAAGATCTCGACCCGGTTTTAGCAGTAAGACAATGTCCGCTAATGACATTTCTCTGTCGGGTGGACCTCCATCCAGTAATTCGGTGAACCAAGCTTCCATATATGGAGTGAGTTGTTCCCTAAAGGTTTTGTAATAGGTGCCATCAAAGCCATCTGGTCCCGGTGCTTTGTTGCTCTTCAATGTAGAGATTGCCAAGTCTATTTCTTCCGCCGTGATCGGTTTCCTCAAGCCGTCAACTTCCACCTCATTGAGTGTTGGCAAGTCCAGCCTTGCAAGAAAAGCTTGTATCTTGTCTTTTTCGCTTTGCACATCAGCAAGCTCTGTTGTGGAATGATTATATAGTTTAGTGAAGAATTCAGTGAATACCTTTGCTATGTCTGTGGGGTTCGTATGGTATTGACCTGAGGTGTCTTTGATTTTAATGATGTGGGTTCCATGTTGCCGTGGATGGAGGGACCTCGCCAGCAGGGTGTCCATCTTGTTGGCTTTTTCAAAATATGTCCATTTAGAACCTATGATAGCCCGTGCCGTTTCGTCTAGTAGCGTTTCTCGAACCAAGGCCCTCAATTCCTGAACCGCCTGTAGGTTAGCGGGTGTAGAATCAGTTTTATGTCTTTGTTCAGCCTTACGTAATGACTCCAGGAGGGATGATAATAAAAGGGTTTTACGTTTTTTCTTTAGTGTTGCTTCACGAATAAGTATGCCTCTGATCACTGCTTTATAAGCCGACCACACCATCACCTTCGACAGGTCCGGGTCAGTTTCTCTAGCAAAATAGTCAGTTAATTCCTTCCACACCACTTTGACAATTGCCGGATCGCGGAGTAGAGATGTGTTTAATTTCCAGGACCATGGGGACGCCGCACTTAGCTTATCCAGAGTTAGGGAAATGTCTGCGTGGTCTGACCAAGTGATGGAGCCTACCTTTGATTCTGATATTTTGGGTACTGAGGAGGGGCTAACCAGAAACAAATCTATTCTCGAATAAGTGTTGTGGGGTGCTGAGTAAAAGGTAAAATCGCTATCATCCGGGTGGTACGCTCTCCATATGTCTATAAGGCCTGTATCTTGCATGAAGAGGTGTAGCAATTTGTCCTGACCGCATCCATCTTACCAGATCCCCTATCTCTCGATGGGCATGGAGCGGCATTGCAATCGCCTCCCACTATCACCATTCCATGTGGCAATGCGTTGATTTCTTGGGTCAGTTCTGCCCAGAACTCCTTAGATGGGTCATTCGGACCATAAAGGTTGAGAATATGTATACTATGGGAGTACATCGTTCCTGACAGGAAAGCGGCCTCTGGTGTCTGTGTGTACCCTAGAAACATTGAGTGGGCATCTACGGTGTATCAAAATAGCTACCCCATTCGTCTTATTGAGAGCTCTAGACTCATATGAGGTGCAATACGCATGGTCCCTAAGCGTAAACTTTGCTGAAGTCTGTATGTGTGTCTCCTGCAGGAATGCTATATCAGGGTTCAATCTTTTGAGGTCTCTAAACATGAGGCGCCTTTTTTTTGGTGCATTGAGGCCCTTAACGATCAATGATAATATTTTCACAGGCATGGTCCTGTCCTGTGGGTGTCGCTATGATAGGGTATATTGTTAAGCCTGCGCTCTAAGTTATCGTTTTTTACCTTTCTCGCTGGCGGGAGGAGTATTCCTTGCGCGTGGCTTCTAACATTTTACTCCTACCAGCTTTCCCGTCCTCTCTCCTGTACTGGGCTCGTTCGTCCTCTGGGCATTCTTCTATTGTGCTCCGGTCATTCCTTACACCCCCCTCCTGGGTAAGGTAGGGAAGGGTATGAAAAGGGATGAAACAGGGTAGAAATAAAGTATAAGAGAAGAAGAAAAGAGTTGAAAAACATATTATGTACATCTTGTGCCTGGTCTTACCTATAGCCAGGCCTATGTGGGGTGTGAGTCCCTGTCCCTCCAGAATTCCTGAAAGGCTCGACAAGTACAGGGACTCAGACCAACCCAAGTTGTATTGAGGCAGCATCAGAACATAAATTAACTCAAGCCCCTGATTCCGGTACATTTACCTAGTAGGGTCAGCCCTCTACAATCAGCCTGGGTTTATCAAAATTGGGCGTCTTCCCAGGTTTTCCCTACCCCCCATCATCTCGCCCGTCGTCTGGTACCTTTCACCGTCCCGATCTGTTAAGAAGCTCACTGGTTCCCCCACTGGTGTTACAAAGGTGTCTTCAGGTTCATAGTCGCCCGTGTAAGCCCACTCTATAACTCCCCTGTACAGCTGGTACATCACCAGCTATGGCCCCGTGGATGTTTCAGATCTAGCAGGGCATGGGGCATTCCCCTGAGTCGGAGGCGGGGAGTGAAAAGGTAGAGACTCAGTTGACCGCCTCTCCCCTTGCCGATTTGCATATCCCGAGCCTAGTTCTATGTTTGAGGAACCCTCCGACCTGTAGCCCTTCCAAGCTGTATGAGATACCCTTACAATGTCTACCGATCGAAAGTGGAGCCCGTCAACCACCCACCACCATGTTACACAGCAGCTAAACACAGTATACACCTAGCTTGCAAAACCTTGAGAAACATATGCGCCTAGGGAAACACGAAAGGTAAATCACATCTCAGAACGAACAAACGTTGTGAAATATACAGTTTATCTCCCCGCCGCAATCCTCCCCGCCTCCCACCGCAATCCCCCCCGCCACCCGCTGGCCAATTTGTAAAACACAAAACCAGTCCCTGTTTCAAAATCCAATCATCCGCCTGTGAGCCTGTAATGATACTGTGCTTCGACCATGAACTGTGTGTGGGTATGGAGAGGAGATGAGAACGAGACCCCAAAGGGACTCCAGAAAAAAAAGGGAAAACCCAACTCCTCATCTCGAGGAGTCACAATCCCTAACCCTCCACATAAAAAGCAGAGCCCCCCCACCAGAGAACCCGGCCGGAGCGTGTTGAAGAACCCCTATACAAAAACATTGAGCCCGTATAAAATAAAAGCCCCCTCCCAATATCAGGAAACAAGGCCCCCCCTGCCGGCTGGCCTGTATGGAGGCCAACCTCTCGAGGAACTGGCCCCCCAAAAACAAGGAAGAAGATCTCCCTTCTGACCTCACTCGCCCGCCGAGTACCATTCTCGGGGGAGGGGGTGCACCGTCGCTGACTCGGTATCTGGAACCATAAGATCTCCTGTGTCCTGGACCCTTAACTCGCGTAGAAATGCCACCGGATTGCCGCCTGGGTGCAGGATCCTCGAGCGCCCTTCCTTAAAGGCCATCAGCCAGAACGGATGGCCCCACGCATACTTAATGGAGTGCCGCTGAAGCAGTTCTGTTATAGGTCGCCATTCCCGCCGCTGCCACAGGGCGTTAGGTCTTGATATAAGACTAATTCAGCTCCTCTGTATATGATTGGGCCCTCCCTTCCGCGCCTCATCAAAGCTTACTTTGTTTGGAATAATTGGAACTTGATGATTACATCTCTGGGCCTGTTATCATTTGCCCACCGGGCCCATAGTGCCCGGTGCGCTCTCTCAATATGCCAGTGGTTCTCCGGTATGTTTGGGAGGAGTGGTTGAAATATGGAGGAGACCACCTCAATCAGGGAGCCATCCCCCTCCTGTTCTGGTAGACCCCGCAGCCTAATGTTATTCCGTCGGGAGCGGTTACCCAGGTCATCCAACGCATATTCAGCCGCCGCTAACTTGGATGTTAATAAGTTAATTTGTGAAGCGGCCGCGTTATGGGCTTCCACCGTGGACTCCACTCTTTTCTCTAGGGCTGCCATTCTGGTCCCTAATGCATAAATCTCTGCCTTGACTTCGGCAGTATTTATAGCTATCTCTGTTGCCAGGTAGGATCTTACCTCTGCCAAGGTACCAGTATCTGTTTGGCATCCGTTTCTTGGGGCCCTCCAGAGCTCTCCCGTCCGCCATCTTGGGTGGTATTTCTCATGACGCGGGAGGCCGCAAAGAGATCTGACAACGTTGCGCCCTGTTCCTGCTGTCTTTTGCCTGCCTTTGGTATTTGGCAATTTACCTCCGATCTGCTGCTTTTATTTACTGTTGGTCCGGCGGTCCCGGCGGAGCTTCACACGGACACGTCCAGCTCGCTCCTACCGCAGACCACGCCCCCGATTTGTCTCATTCTTAAGCATTTCTTTCATTATATTATCTTAAATTTCTTCATCATCGCTAAATCTTTTCAACAACCACCGAGAGTCTTCTGAGTTTTTGTGTCAGCTATGATTGCATCCAATGCACTATCAAAAGAGAGCCAATTTCCCTTTTGTTAACAGGTTTTGAGGAGTTTTGCTAGGGGGGCTAGGGAAATTAATTAGACCTTGTAACAACACGTTTCATTTGTTTTCAACACATCTCATTTTTGTTTCAATGTACTACAAACATGACAATTGCTTGCTTTTTTAAGTTGACACCATTCATGCATAGAATTAGTTTAAAGGAAGCAATTTTTAAACAAATTGATTTGCTCAATATCCCTAAATCTGTTAACAATTTCAATAAACAATCATCCCAAATATTTTCATGATTTTCTCTTTTTATAGACTGTGACAAACTCCCCTTTCCAAGTGAGTTTGCCACGAGTTCCTAAAGGTGTCTGCTTGTAAAACGTGATATAAAATTCTCTGTTCTTGTATTTGGACTACATGGTTCAGGAACCGAACAGCTGCATGAACCGGAGACCACCCTGGAGCTTGTTAACCCTAATTGCTACTTTGTAACAATTTTCACCTCAGTGTTCTAAGTGTGCGTCTGGGTGGTCGCAATTCCTAGGGACGACCACGAGGTGGCAGCCATCTTGTTCACATGAACGCAGGTAGTGGTGTTTGGTCGTCAAGTTCATTTCATGTTTCAATTTCACTAGAGAAATTATTAGACCTTTTAACAATACATACTCACTACAGACAAGCTAATTGACACACACACAAACAAGCTCACTCACTAGCAGGCGCACACAAAACATCACTGTAATGGGCTGAAGTCTACCTGTCACAGGCAGTGAGAGACAGGGAGCACTGGGAGGTGAAGTCAGCACTGTGAGTGCAGGGCCAGGGCTGAGCTTGTGTATGTGAGGTGGGGCCTGAATGTGGGGGCAGAGCATAAAGGCACCAAACTGCTGGGGATTCAGGAGGGAGCTTCATAGCGCTCTTTGTGGTCCCCTGGCAGCCTTAATGCGGCCTCCTGCACCTCCCTCCAGTCCCGAGCACCTCCCCCCTTCTTTCCTCAGACTGAGCTCTCACAGTCAGAGGGAAAAGTACTTGTGGGGAGGGGGAAAGTTGAAAAATCCAGAGGGAGGCAAGTGCCTCCCCAAGTCCTCCCCTGCTGACTTTCATGGCTTCAGTCAACACATGTTCCTCCTGCATCAAGCAGGGTACTACCACTCGTTGCAGGGAACAGTTCAAAATTTTCAAGTTATTTTCTTGTAATCTTCTTGCAGCAAAATCTTTTTAGATATTCAGCCAGTACTAATTCAGACTTAAATCTTCCCATGCTTTCTCCCCCATTAAATGTAGGAAATTAGCTGATCCTGAGATGTTGGTTTGTCACTGTAGCGGATGACACTGGGCTGTCCTGAGAATTGCATAGGTTTTAACTGCATTCGTCTAAATGGCAGGTTATATGTGTATAAATGTATTGTATTCGTCTGATTGTTCGGTAGAATCATTCTAACAAATAAGGGAATGAAACTACCGAACAGTCAGACCTCCCCGGTGTGAAGTGTGCCTTCAATTACCCGTTGCAACATTGTTGCGAATGGGTAATTGACAAGCTGAGCAGTAGTCCTTTGGGTGTCCGCCATTCGGGAAACGAACACGTGGCGGCGGCCATTTTAAAACTCCCAAACAGCGGTGTTTTGCCGTCGAGTGTCTGGAACTCAAATCGGACACTCGACTAGGTGAACACCGCTGAGACCTCCACAAGCACGGTCTGTTCAGGTTCCAAACTACCGAACCCAAACGAGGGGATTCAGGCGAACCCTCCCTAGTCTCTGTAACTGGAGGCTTTCGTGTAATTTATTCCCTTGTTCCAGGACCGACCGCAGGGCCCCATCGCAAGGAACCCAATTCGGCTATTCTTTCCAGCGCGGTCAGTCATTTTATTCCCTCCATAAATTTCCCGAACCCCTGGTCTGATCTGGGTGATTTTTGGATATGTTGTTTACCCAGATCAGGGCTACCAGGGGATGTATAATTTAAAGCGGTACCCCTAGGTTTAGGGGTACATCCAGAAACGGGGGGAATTGGTGTCCTGGATAAGGGGATTATGATGCAGGCTGAGGGGAGGAGATGTGTGGGAGGTTACCAGAACAGGATTGGGAATGGAAATCCCTCCCTTGCATGGGAGCATGCTTTATAAGGCCACTGTATGAATAAATCTTTAGTTCTGCTCCTGATACTGTGTGTCGTCCAGTTATTGGGAGTGCTGTTGGGATACTGCTGTATTATTTTGCCTGCTGGATACTTTGCCCTATGGATTTATAATTGCTTGTTCCTGAGCCTCACTGGGATCTAAAGTGGAGATAGGCTGTGTAATACCAGCTCTCCGTTACAGTCACATAAGAGTTACAATAATCGAATCAGATTGTCTTGCAGCCTTAAAATGTATATTTATTCAAACATACACGACATCCAAAAAAATGTTTTTGCATCAGGACCAATACAGCAATATGTATGCACTTTAAGTTAATAACCATTTTTGATGTTAAGTATTGGTGGTGAATATCTATCTGCAGGGGGTGGGGGGGAGGCGGGGCCTGACCGCCATACTGATAGATCGCAGTTCAGACGAGCTCCGTGAGAGAACTCAGAATTGTCCTATTCTACCGACTATACTGTAGTAAACAGCATTGCTTACACTGATGACAACATCTTGCTAAGCTAGAAGCCCCCGGAGGCAAGAACTCTAGCCTGAGCTCGACAGGATTCTTGCGGCCTACCAGAGAGAGCGAGCGCAGGAGTGGCGGCTGGCATCTCTGCTGGAACCAGTGGTGGTGATTAAAGCTCCGGTCCCCCCTTTGCCGGTAAGGGATATCCCAGCACCTAGTTCACGCCTGTAGTCTTGAGCCACTGGCAGAATTGCAACTCGGCAGCCATACCAAACAAAGAGGCCTGCCATGCTGCCTAATTAAGATGGCAGACGCACCGCAGACACCCACCCTTTAAAGCCCGCTAGAGATAACTACAAGGCGACTGGATGCAATATTTTTTAATTTAAGGACGAAGCTTAACAATCGACTGGGCAATGGTGGGGAGAAGAAACAGAGCACTCACTCACACTACTCACCTCCAGCAAACCGGCATCTTGAGTCTGGCTCAGCTCCAAAGACAACCACTGCGCATACGGGCCTGAGAAGACAGAAGTGGAAGTCTTGAGTGCACCGTGCTTGCCCAGGTACCAGGCAGTTGATGGCCACGAGGGGAACACCCCCGGTGCAAGTCGCACATCACTGGAGGAATTACCAGCGCCCTCAAGCCAAATTCACTGCCTCCAGGGGCAATGTCGTTTATGACGCCAGGAGCAGCCGTAGAAGTGGGATCCGTACATGGGCCCATTTAGAGACCTGGGGCCAGCAGAGTTGTCTGACTGGGCCTTCAATATGCAGGGATCAAGGGAATCGGGTTATCTGTGTCATGGCATAGGGAGTAGAGTTAAGTCTTCTTAAGTCAAACCTTCGCTAGATGCATGCCTTCTACAATTAGGTTTAACAAAAGTAGGACAGTAGACCACCCACCAGTGACATCCTTGTCATTAACTCACTGCTGCCGACCTTTTTTAAAATTTTGTTTTCATCGTTTTAATGCAACCATATATGTCAATCTAGTGGCCACTATATGCAGTATATTTACAACACTATGATATCATACTTCTCATGATATGCAGTTGACTAGGTATCTCTCTTTTGATGTGAAGGAGCAATTTGAAGGTTAATTCTGCCTATAATCAGCAAAGTCAATCTCCTCACAACTGTTTTGTTGATAATTGGTAAATCACTTATCACTTAGTAGACGGGGACCTCATGCCAGCTTCTTCAGTTATCTAGCTTAAAGGGACACTCCAGGCACCCAGACCACTTCTGCCCATTGCAGTGGTCTGGGTGCCAACTCCCACTACCCTTAACCCTGCAACTGTAAATATTGGTGGTCTCAGGTAAGTCACTGAAGGGGTTTTCACCACTTCAGCAGTATGAGATGGGGGGTGGGAGGGGACCTGCAGTGCCAGGAAAACGATTTAATAAAACCATTCTTCATACTATTGTAAAATTGTGCATTGTATTTACATAGGTTAGCAGGTTAAAAACAATCTTAACACTTTAACTGTTATATTTTGCAATGTTTTAGTTCTGTTAAGCTGCCATCACTTTTTCTTTCTATTGTTACCATGCCAGAACTGTAAGCATATATAGACCAAGCAGGTGCCTATGTCATATACTTTAAAACTATACTATGCCTACCATTTCTGCTCCATATTATAAAATTGTGCACACCCTCTACTTGCCATGTTAGGAAATGTACAATGATATTATGTGTGTGACTGCTGTTGTGGCAACACAGGCTTGATGTAAAAATTTGTCTAAGTATGAAATTAGGAGGCGTACACATAAAGATAAGGTTATTTAAACCTTTAAAATGTGTAAAAAAGCTTGTGGCTTAATAACCATTCTGTCCAATCTATGATTAAAGCCATGCATTATAAAAATGGTTAACTTTTTTCCCTTTGGTTTTTACTTTATGTATTGGGGCTGCTATGTGTGCTATGGTCGTTGCTGCCACCCAAGAGTAGTGGGAGTTTGAGCACAAGACTTGTTTTTGTGTATTTATAAAAATGGTAATACTTGGGGGTAAAATATAATTTACACAAATGATTTTACTATAAATGCTTAAATGAATACATTCTTAATACATATGGGAGTCTGGCTTGCAATAGCGGGTCAAAGGTTATAACAGTGGGCCTTTATCAATCTATCTGAACAAGGACCATATGTCCTATAATTAATACTAGATGTCTAGGTCTAGGTAGGGCCTCCCAGGTCCTGTGTATGAAAGAAGTCTGAAATTAAATTATTCACAACTAATACAAGAATAATAATAATCATATTACAAGGATAAAATTCTACGACATATCAGATATTTTAAAGCTCATTAAATATTTTTCAGAAGGCTGAAATTTAACTCCAAATTATGAGTGGCTGATTGGAATATTTGACAAAATTGGTATATTCAGTAGTTATAGTCTCAGCTGCATTGAATGCCCTAAGAAAAAAAAAAAAAAAACTAGAAAATGAGAAGAAAATATAATTTTGCTTGAAGTTTGTATTAACATGGGGGTTGGGGAAACTAGCCTTTCTCTTGGAATGTCCAAGGTTATTGTGTCCTTGGATAAGAATAAAGGACCCCAGGGATAATTAGCTTAACCTAATTTACATTCCTCAGTCAGAACTCTGGTCTCCTATCCCAGTTCATACACTTATTGGTATGAATAATTTGTAAATATATTTCATGTGTGGGCTGTGCTTTTTTTTTAAATGAAAGCTGGAACTCAGAAATAGTGATCCTACAAGTTGCCAGTAAGAAGCATGTGTCTTGTCTCTTTGCTGAGGTCTTGGTTGGAATCATGCAAATTTAAGTCATGCTAAGGAACCATATTCATTGAAGTGTGTTACCAGTGGAACAGGCTAGTCAGTATATTTTGTAAGAGCCAGAACACACAACCACAATATATCCTGGGTTGCCGGTGAGACCGCAACCAAGTGGAGCAGAGTTAGCGGTGCAGGTTAGGCATCTAAGGACGATAGCATGAGGGTGCCATAATACCAATGCATCATATGTACATTGACTGCTACTATCAAAGTTACTATTTATTGTGTGAGCATGAAAAAAAATATTTCACAATACAAGATTTTATTCCCATGTTAATCCATAGATGCATTATAAAATCACCTCAACTGTGTGAGATGCATTGGTTTATGGGTTATTTTATCATATATTTTTAACATGTCTGGAATACCTAATCTAAGTGTTTCTGAGTCCACAGAACACAGTAGATATTGCATCACGTCAGGTAAGGACAAATGTACCCATTTCCAATATGGACACTGCTGCACTTCCTATTTGAAAGATCAGTTACACAAGAGCCAGAACTGACGTCATTACAACGCCCGGAACAGGAAGCGACCACAACCCAGAACTAATGCATTCGACAGGCAGGTGAATCAATTCAGCAATCATCTAAACCACATAAATTGTGAAGACTTTTATGTAGAAACATGTAAGCTGTATTTGGTGTAATTTTTTATTGCTATATTACAAGGAAATTATGTGGTAGTGTATATTTATTTGTGCATTACACATTGCTTTTTATTTGTCCAACTTTTAATTTTCCAATAAATTAATTTTTAAAATTTCTTCTGCCTGTCTTGCCTGTGGACACCTACCGAAGCCAGTACTGGCACCCTGAGGCTATTTATATAGAGCCTGGCACGGCTCCATACTTGTGAGTGAAACCATATACACACCCATTGTACATTGTATTGTAATAGATTACACTATGTATGTTTTATCTATTTCCTTTTAGAAACCGTATTCCTGTACTAGTGCACATTGCCTGATACTGTTAAGTATAAGTTATTATTTTTATCCTTCAACTCAGGATGCTGTGCATTTTATAGTGGTTTTACCACTATGTGCTTTTGTTTATTTAAAGCTCTGATTTACTGGCAAAACATTCCCCACATTTACTACTTTAAAAAGGCTTCTCTCCGGTGTGAGTTCTCTGATGTTTAACAAGATGTGAGTGAGCACTAAAACATTTTCCACATTCAGAACATCAGAATGGTTTCTTTCCTGTGTGAATTCTCTGACTGACAAAGGTCTGAATGTTGAACAAAACATTTTCCGCATTCAGAACAAGAGAACAGTTTCTCTCCTGTGTGAGTTCTCTGATGACGGACAATCGCTGCTTTGGTGATGAAACGTTTCCCGCATTCTGAACATGAGAAAGATTTTTCTCCGGAATGAGTTCTCTTATGACGGAGAAGTTCTGCTTTAGTAACAAAATATTTTTCACATTCAGAACATGAGAATGGTTTCTCTCCTGTGTGAATTCTGATGTGTAACAAGATTTGAATATCGCACAAAACATTTTCCACATTCAGAACATATGAATGGTTTCTCTCCTGTGTGAGTTCTCTGATGTGTAACAAGATTTGAACGGTGTCCAAAACATTTTCCGCATTCAGAACATGAGAACAGTTTCTCTCCTGTGTGAGTTCTCTGATGACTGACAAGTTCTGAATGTTGAACAAAACATTTTCCGCAATCAGAACATGAGAATGGTTTCTCTCCTGTGTGAGTTCTCTGATGTGTAACAAGATTTGAATGGTGTCCAAAACATTTTCCGCATTCAGAACATGAGAATGGTTTCTCTCCTGTGTGAATTCTATGATGTGTAACTAGATTTGACTGTCGCCCAAAACATTTTCCACATTCAGAACACGAGAAGGGCTTCTCTCCTGTGTGAGTTCTCTGATGACGGACAAGTTCCGGATGTCGCCCAAAACATTTTCCGCATTCAGAACATGAGAATGGTTTCTCTCCTGTGTGAATTCTCTGATGTGTAACAAGATTTGAATGTCGCCCAAAACATTTTCCACATTCAGAACATGAGAATGGCTTCTCTCCTGTGTGAGTTCTCTGATGATTGACACATTCTGAATGTCGCCCAAAACATTTTCCACATTCAGAACATGAGAACAGTTTCTCTCCTGTGTGAGTTCTCTGATGACTGACAAGGTCTGAATGTTGAACAAAACATTTTCCGCATTCAGAACATGAGAATGGTTTCTCTCCTGTGTGAGTTCTCTGATGTGTAACAAGATTTGAACGGTATCCAAAACATTTTCCGCATTCAGAACAAGAGAACAGTTTCTCTCCTGTGTGAGTTCTCTGATGACGGACAAGCTCGGCGTAGGTGAAAAATGTATTCCCACATTCAGAACATGAGAATGGCTTCTCTCCTGTGTGAGTTCTCTGATGACGGACAATTGCTGCTTTGGTGATGAAACTTTTACTACATTCCGAACATGAGAAAGGTTTCTCTCCTGAATGAGTTCTCTGATGACGGAGAAGTTCTCCTTTAGTAACAAAACATTTTTCACATTCAGAACATGAGAATGGTTTCTCTCCTGTGTGAGTTCTCTGATGACGGCCAAGCTCCTTGTTGGTGAAAAAACATTTTTCACATTCAGAACACGAGAAAGGTTTCTCTCCTGAATGAGTTCTCTGATGACGGAGAAGATCTGCTTTAGTAACAAAACATTTTTCACATTCAGAACATGAGAAGGGTTTCTCTCCTGTGTGAGTTCTCTGATGTCTAACAAGTTTTGCGTGTTGACTAAAACATTTTTCACATTCAGAACATGAGTACGGCTTCTCTCCTGTGTGAGTTCTCTGATGACTGACAAACTCTGCATTGGTGAAAAAACATTTTCCACATTCAGAACATGAGAAGGGTTTCTCTCCTGTGTGAATTCTCTGATGTGTAACAAGATTTGACTGTCGCCCAAAACATTTTCCACATTCAGAACATGAGAAGGGCTTCTCTCCTGTGTGAGTTCTCTGATGATTGACACATTCTGAATGTCGCCCAAAACATTTTCCACATTCAGAACATGAGAAAGGTTTCTCTCCTGAATGAGTTCTCTGATGTATAACAAGATTTGAATGGTGTCCAAAACATTTTCCACATTCAGAACATGAGAATGGTTTCTCTACTGTGTGACTTCTCTGATGACGGACAAGCTCTGGGTAGGTGAAAAACTTTCTGCCACATTCAGAACATGAGAATGGCTTCTCTCCTGTGTGAGTTCTCTGATGACGGACAATGTGCGCTTTGGTGATGAAACTTTTCCCACATTCCAAACATGAGAAAGGTTTCTGTCTTGAATGAGTTCTCTGATGACGAAGAAGTTCTGGTTCAGTAACAAAACATTTTTCACATTCAGAACATGAGAATGGTTTCTCTCCTGTGTGAGTTCTCTGATGACTGACAAACTCTGCAGAGGTGACAAAACATTTTCCACATTCCGAACATGAGAAAGTTTTGGGGTTTAAGTTTACTGTATCCATTGAGGTATCTGAGAAAATGCTTGATTTATTAGAGTTGGACTCCGTGCATATGTTATTAAAAGATTTTTGCAGGTATTTCTGTTCTTGTTACCTCTCCTGACAAATACACCTAAAAGAAACATACTGGGAGTTAAAGGAAATCGGTCACATAAATTATTGTTTGCTATACATAGAAAAAAAAATAGACAATATTTGCATAATAGATAAGAAATACGACCATCAGGTGTCACGGTGATTGCGAAGAAATCAAGTATTTTGTGTGTATTAAGCACTTTACTAGCAAAATTGTGTATACTCCTTTTTACTTGAATTTGCTTTGCTAAACTAGATTTAGTCCATAAAGCCTCACGTATCTGTATAAACATGTCGTCCTGTATAATAATACTGAGTATCTATACACTGATAATAAACATGTCCCACTGTATAATCATACTGAGTATCAATAAACTGACAAACATGTCGCACTGTATAATAATACTAAGTATTTATACACTGATAATAAACATGTCGCTCTGTATATTAATACTGAGTATCTATACACTGATAATAAACATGTCGCTCTGTATAATAATGCCGAGTATCTATACCCCGATAATAAACATGTCGCTCTGTATAATAATACCGAGTATCTATACCCCGATAATAAATATGTCGTTCTGTATAATGATATCGAGTACCTGTTATGTTTTTTCTTTTTTTTTTTTAATGCCAAAGAATGAAAGCAGGCAGTACATCACATTTTGATTTACACATTATTCATCAAAAGAAAAGGAAAAGAAAAAAAACCTTTTTTTCAACCCCCTTACAATAGCAGCCTTTATAATTTTCATTATCATTATAAGCATTCATATTAAAACATTTCCATGTTGCCTTAATAATACATCAGTTTAGTAAATACATTCCATTCAACTTCTAGTTTAGCTTAAGTAATTTGTTGGAGAGTGCTATAGGTAATGTTCTAAAAATATATAATATCTGAGGTAATATCATTTTAATTAGATTTATGCGTCCTAGCCATGAAATCTCCAAACCCTCCCATTTTGCCATTGTATTTTTAATTTGCTGAAGAGTATCTATACACTGATAATAAACATGTCCCACTGTATAATCATACTGAGTATCAATAAACTGACAAACATGTCGCACTGTATAATAATACTAAGTATTTATACACTGATAATAAACATGTCGCTCTGTATATTAATACTGAGTATCTATACACTGATAATAAACATGTCGCTCTGTATAATAATGCCGAGTATCTATACCCCGATAATAAACATGTCGCTCTGTATAATAATACCGAGTATCTATACCCCGATAATAAATATGTCGTTCTGTATAATGATATCGAGTACCTGTTATGTTTTTTCTTTTTTTTTTTTAATGCCAAAGAATGAAAGCAGGCAGTACATCACATTTTGATTTACACATTATTCATCAAAAGAAAAGGAAAAGAAAAAAAACCTTTTTTTCAACCCCCTTACAATAGCAGCCTTTATAATTTTCATTATCATTATAAGCATTCATATTAAAACATTTCCATGTTGCCTTAATAATACATCAGTTTAGTAAATACATTCCATTCAACTTCTAGTTTAGCTTAAGTAATTTGTTGGAGAGTGCTATAGGTAATGTTCTAAAAATATATAATATCTGAGGTAATATCATTTTAATTAGATTTATGCGTCCTAGCCATGAAATCTCCATTTTTATAATACGATACCTGCCCATACTCTATTAGCAATTTGATCAATGATGGTAGGGAAGACTCCTGATCTTTAATAAAGAGCAGAATATCGTCCGCAAACAGCGATATTTTTTTAATGCCCCCAGGTGTAATCAAACCTTTAATACTAGTGTCATGTTTAATAATTGTTACTACAGGTTCCATACATATAATAAAAATAAGAGGGGAAAGGGGACAGCCTTGACGAGAACCATTACCTATTCTTATTTTATCAGAAAAAAAGCCAGTGTTAAGCACTCTTGCGGACGGATTTTGATATAATGCTAATATGCTGGCTCGAAAAGCTAATGGAAAGCCCATTTTAGTAAGTGTAAGTGAAATATACCCCCAATGCAGGCGATCAAACGCTTTTTCAGCGTCTAATGCTAGAATTAATCCTTGTTGTGATGAAGTGTTTACCCATTCCACCAGATTCACAAAATGTCTGGTATTATCCCCTATCTGTCTCCCAGGTATAAACCCTGCTTGCTCCTCCGAGATGAGATCTGGAAAGAGGTATTTGAGCCGTGAAGCTATTAATTTAGCGTAAAGCTTAATATCCATATTAAGTAGGGATATCGGTCTCAGATTTTCACTCTGTGTGGGTGATTTATTAGGTTTAGGTAAAGCCACAATATGTGCTTCCAACATTTCTTGGGGAATGGCACCAGCATCTTTTATATAGTTAAAAAGTTTCGTAAGGATTGGTGTCAATTGTTTTTCTAATTTTATATAATAATAATTTGAGAACCCATCAGGCCCGGGAGAATTATGCTTAGAAAGGGAGTTTATTGCTATTACTACCACTTCTTTCTCAAATGATTTTTCATTTGAAATGGTGATAACCTAGGTAGAAGGACGCTCTCTAGAAAATTCTGTATCTCCTCCCCCGTTGGTGGATGTGTATTAGTATCTTTCTCTAGTTGATAAAGCATTGAATAGTAAGTTGCCAATTCATTTGCTATACCCTGAGAATTATATAACTTATCACTCCTTTTAGAGACTATGTAAGGAATTTTAACTTGTAAGTCTACCAGCTTTATTTTCCATGACATAATGTGATTGGTTTAATAGTCTCATATGTTTCCCTGTTTCCGAAAGTTGTAAATCATGTAAGGCTGACCTAATCATCATCAATTGTAAATGTGAGGTAGGAACAGCTGTGTGTTTTGCCTCCACCTTAGTCAACTCCTGTTCTAATTTACTAATTTCCTGTAAACGTGATCTCTTTACCCGCGCTCCTTGCTGTATTAACATACCTCTTAGGACTGCCTTATGGGCTAGCCATTGGGTAATAACATTAGTCTGGCAGTTAGCATGATTTCTATAAAACATCTCCACCTGAGATTGCAACATTGGGAGGTATTCATTAGCATCTAATAAGCTATCATTTAAACGCCATGCACTTTTCCCCCTTATTGAAAATGGCACCTTTATCTTAATACTTAAAGGCACGTGGTCTGACCACATTATTGGGCCTATTTGTGCACTAATTGCGGAGGGCAGGGTTTTAATGTCCAGCAGACATAGATCTATTCTAGTAAAAGCCTTATGTACAGTTGAGTGATAAGTAAAGTCTCTCTCACTAGGGTAGAGGTTACGCCATAGATCATGCAGTAAAGTCTTCAAATATTGACCAAGGTGGACCGATAGCTGTTTCGGTGGTTTATCCTTGTGACAAAATGCCTTTTGTCACTGGATTTTTAGGTGACAAGCTGCCCATTGCCCCTGGCTGTTGGAGGAGCCTGAGTGCCAGCCTCCTGCCTCATGACTATGGCCCCATGTTGAAATGCTTCATTTTCCCCTGCAAAGACAAGAAAGCCGGGTCATTCGGTGCTGACCCTGTTTGAGCGGTGATACCCCATATAGCTATGCCATAGAGCCCATTCATATAATGAAAGACTATGGGAAAGACTTTGGCTCCATAGCAATTGAACTGTATGTGTGTGATCTGAACACCATTCAGTAATAATGTGCGCTCAGATCTGAGATATCTGGGGATTTGTTGAATGTACCTGTTTTATGCAATGGCTGCACAGTAATATATTTTTATGTATTTTATTGTCTTTTGCTGCCATGTGTTCAATGGAGTTTTGCCTCTGTCCTTGGAGATAATTGGATTACTTCCCAGTTATCTCCAGGATAGAAGACTCTGTGAAACTGGTTTTGAGCAGAAAAGCCATGCTTCATTTGGTCACAAAGGACTTCCGACTAACTTTTGAACCAATGGAAGGATTTGCATGATTTTTGGTTATGTTTATATTTAAAGTATGCCGATTCTGAATATATATGTTTTATGTGAATATGATGCATATTTTGAAAGTTACAGTATCGGTGTAAAAAGTGTTTTTCCTGCCTGTGATAGATTACATTAACCCACTGTGTTCAGTAAGTATATCACAGGCAGAGGGGAGGGATTGTATGTTGGTGCTGGGTGTGATTTACGGTTTTCCTGCAAATGATTGGTTGTACTGTGTCCCACCCTGTGGGATGTCCCCTTGCATGGGGACTTGCATAAAAGCCAGTGCGTGGTCATTAAAGGCAGATCATCTTGTACCTTCATGAAGTTTCGGCTCATGTTTGGGGGATTGAAGAACTACACTCTGGGGATTGCTATAATCACTCCCCAGGGTATAATCACTAAGCTCTGCTAAGAGCTTGTTCCTGTTCCTGCTCTCTGGAATTCGGAAAGAGGTCGACCTACTGGAAGCTGGACCCTGGTCCTGGGTCCAGAGTGGCTGGAGACGGCAAGACCACAACCAAACTGCAAGTATGGTGTCTGGCAGAGTGCTTGGAGTCCTCGGGAAACACGAGGAGCATCCGTCAGCGGAAGGTACCTGGTCGGGGTGCCAGCGGTTCCGTTACAATCCTCTACTTTAAAATCAAAAGAAGGGTCTGGAACAAAGTTAAAATCCCCGCAAATAAATATATGTCCTGCCTTATATTGTTCTATCTTTCGAAAAGCCATAGTAAGAAATTGATTTTTGCTTATCATTTGGTGCATATAATGACACTATAGTTACTGATAGTCCATTTAATAATCAAACCAAAATCAGCAATCTCCCATCTTTTCTAGCATATTGTTTGTCAGGAATAAAGGACCAAATCGCTATGAAAATAAATCGATACCCCTTTAGTTTTAGTCGTGAACACAGAATGATAGCTTTGAGGGTAATGTTTAATGTTAAATTTAGGTGGGTTCTTAGCACACAGATGTGTCTCTTGAAGACATACCACTGCTTCTTTTGATTTCAACATTTCATGCTCTAACATTCTGCGTTTATTAGGGCTATTTAGACCTTTAACATTTAAAGTAAGTATAGTTAAATAATTGTCCATGGTCCCAATTCAATTATTCCTCATTATGCAATATGCAAATAC